GAACCAGAACCAGATTATAATGAAGATGAGAGTGATTCCTTCCCACCCCCTCCCCCACCAATAACAGATTCACCCACCAATAATAATAGTCTAGAAATGAAATTAAATGGACAGCCTCCAGCACCTGTATTGAATGTCCCTCCTGAAGAAGATTGTCCACAAATATCACCAAAAAAACTTGAAAATCCATGTCTTAGGTCCAATGAAAGACAAGCATTACATAAGGAATTATTATTTAATTATAAAAGGTGGGTGTTCTTAATATTTACTTTGTTTAGTCTTAGAAACAATAACTTTTTTAACTAAGCTAATCAGTATTTTTGTACATTTCTATTACTTTTGAAGACTATTTACATATAATTCAACCCCCGTAAATGGCAAACCTGTCCCTTTAGATAATGCAACTAAATTATAATCATGTAGCAACAAACTGTGTTTGGTACTTCTATGATAGAATAACAGGCCAAAATATTGATTATTTAACCTGAACTTAGTCCTATGTGTATGTTTCTCATATCAGGTACAGCCATTTAAATAATAACAATTCTGTCCGACATAATATATATTTATATTTATGAATATTTCTTATATTGTTCATTCAGAGGTGTAAATGTTCTACAGAAACCAGAATTAAATAAAATTCTAGAGAAACGAAAAGAACAACAAAGATTAAAAGAATGGGATAACCAACATACTAATAAACGAACTAGTTTAGAATTGAAGTTGGAGGAACGAGCTAATCGAATGAAAGAGGTAATAACACCATTGGTATTGAAATATACATTTAGATAAATTCCATCTTTAATCAAAACATAATACAAGAATGGTTCCAAAGCTCTTAATCTCATCTGTTTGTTAGAAAGGTTTCAACATTGCCTTGGTCTTTAAAAACTCAAATAATTGGCTTGGACTCTCAACCTCATGATTATAATTGTTACTCAATTGCTTATATTAATGAGATTTTATGTTGATATTTCCAGGAAGAGAATAGCAGAATGAATTCCATTAAGGAAAAGACTGAAAATGCTCCTGAATTCTTAAAAATGCATTCAAAAATAACTCAGAAATCCCCAGATAACTGAACAGGTAGTTTGAGAACAGATTTTATAAACAATCAGTGTGGACCAAGTGAATATGAACATGATTATATGTGATAGAGTGATATCAAAGCTATTTCAAGAGTATAGTTTTGAAGTATGAATGATTGGATTGGAGACATCTGAACTATTATCACAAGTGTTAGTCGTATCCTAATCTACAAGAATTTTTCTTTAGATCAAATGAATTTGGGAAAAAAGGATGAAAGTAAAATTGAAATACAGAACAATTAGTGGTCAAATATGACTTAAAATTTAATTTTGATTGATCACAATGGCTGAGAGAAAGAATATTTCATCATCCTCAAGCAAGTGGTTTGTGTCTTAGAAGAGGTCTGTGAAAGTTGGGAGTGAGAAGTGAACATTAATTCATTTTAGAATTATTTGATTATAAATTTATATGAAAGATACTTTGTCTTGTATGTTCATGTATAATTTCTGTCCCTCAACTATTTTAAGTATTATTTAAGACAAATATTGCCAGGGTCCCTTTTGTTACCTCAATGTTTACATTATGGAATTGTGTCAACATGGTGTATTGAAAAGGGTAATCTGAAAGCTATAATAATTTCAAATTTGACTATAGAACAATCAATGTTAGATAGGGCATTCATTCTGTATATATGGTCGTTCAGTATGTAGGTGGTATGCTTGTGCTTCAATTTTATTATTTCTATTTTTTTAAATAGCAATTTTGCCAAAATATGAAAATTCAGGTTCAAATATTTATCATCTTAAAAGATGATGAAACAGTTAGGTCACTTCTTGCTTATATAGAAATCTACCATTTGTTGGATGGATCTATCTGATGTATGTGAAAAATTTAGAATATCAGTAATATTTTAGCCTGTGTATTATCTCTGTATCCTGGTATCACAGACTTGTTAAAAATACATGTATTTATAGTAAACTCTAGTCTGTAGGACATGATATAGGAAAATCACAATATATTTTATATAACGCTGCACAATTACAGCTTAATGAAGAAAATCAACTGACATAAGACCAGATTTAAATACTTTGTATTATATTGTAGTGAAATTTTTTTTACTGGCCTCAATAATCCAAGAACTATTGATTTTTTACGCGGACATATGCAAATCAATTATTTCAAACTTGTCACCAGTCACGTAAAAACTAATACTAAATCTAAAGAAATAAGCTTTATAAATCATTTAATGATAGGATTATAGATGTGTAGAGATGAATATTAAAAATATCAATATGAATAAAGTAGTATTTATTTAGTTTTATAGTTGTTACCTTTTGTAAATAAACAACCATTGCTGCACTTTTGTTATTACAATTATATCAAAGTTGTTTCTCTAATCTCTATCCAACTTTAATTTCTAAGATCCCTGTCTATGCTGTAAGGTTTCTATCCTATGAGTGTATTTAGGATGATTACCCTTGTGAAACTCTAAATAGTGTTTGTGATCATGCTTTTGATGATGTCAATGTGCAGAATTCACAAAGCTTGCTTTTTATGGATTATTATTATCTTTTATTTTATCAAACTTAATGTCACAAGTATTGTTTCAATTACAAAGATATTCTCATTGTGGAGGCTTGAACAATGATTTAATTATGAATGATAATTAGATTTAAATTGTTTGTTTAACTTCCACATGAAAGCATTATTGATATTGTAAACTGTTCTAGGTTGTGAATTAGAAATTTATTTTTATAACAATTAAATGCAACTAGATATGAAAGCTGAATAATTATTACTTGAATTCAGTTATAATGCATATGAAATTTTATTCTATATATGTATGTTATTACAGGTATAATACATCACAGAGATAAATATTACCAAATACCTGTAGAGAATGTATAATAGCTTATTGTTTGACCCCTTTTACTAGAGTCTACAATTGATAAAACAGTGGAAAACATTTCAATGGATTTTAACAAAAAGGTTTTAACATACAATGATAAATTAATTCAGTTTAATAAACTGTACAAGAAGGTTTTCAGTCTAGAAGTCCATAGACATTAAGGTTTTTGTGTGAAAAGACGAATAACTTCCTTATAAAGTCTGACTTTTAAATATACATTTTACCTTTGACATTTTGCCAGTCAATTGAATTGTCTTTTTGATGCTCTTGGCGAAAAATATCTTGAAACGTCTGAAAAATATTTTAACTATTTGTTTTACCTTTTGTCTTCAAGATTTATCTTTTTTCAATGGTCATTTCGTTGTTATTCTGTTGGTTCCTATTATATTACCTCAATTGCTGTATATAGTCTACTGTAGAAG